AGTTTCTTTTTCTTGAGTCCTAGTCTCACTCTGTTGTCCAGGCTGGAGTGCACTGGCAGCACCCTCATGGCCGCCACAGCCTCAGGGAATCCTCTCACCTCAGCCTCCCAAAGTGCTGGGATTATAGGTGTGAGCCACTGTGCCTGGCCAGTTTTTTAAAAAAATTATTATTTAAGCCAGGCTGGTGGCTCAGCTTGTAATCCCCCGCTTTGGGAGGCTAAGGTGAGTGGATTGCCTGAGCCCGCGGGTTCAAGACCCGCCTGGGCAACTTGGCGAGACCTCAAATCTACAATAAATCAAAAAATTAGCTGAGCGTGATAGTGCGTGCCTGTAGTTCCAGCTACTTGGAAGGCTGAGGTGGAAGGATCGCCGGAGCCCAGCAGGTTAAGGCTGCAGTGGCCGAGAGCGGCCACTGCACTCCAGTCTGGGCAACAGAGTGAGACTCCAACTCAAAACAAAACAAAATAAAATAATTATTATTTATTTATTGTTATTTATTGTAGAGATAAAGTCTCACCAAGTTGCCCAGGCTTGTCTCAAAAGCATGGACTCAGGCAGTCCTCTCACCTCCCAAGGTGGTGGGATTATAGGTGTGAACCCTGCACCCAGCTTATTTTATTTTATTTTTTTTAAAGAGACAAGGTTCTCGCCTAGGTTGGAGTGCAGTGGTGCTATCATACTTCACTGCAGCCTTGAATCCCTGGACTCAAGCTGTTCTCTCCTTCAGCCTCCTGAGTAGCTAGGACTACAGGTATGCACCACCATCTGCCTTTTCTTTTCTTTCTTTCTTTCTTTTTTTTTTTTTTGGAGTCAGGATCTTACTTTGTTGCCCAGGCTTGAGTGAAGTGGCATGGTCATGGGTCATCGCAGCCTCAGCCTCCTAGGCTTAGGCGATTCTCCCTCATCAGCCTCCCAAGTAGCTGGGACTGTGGGGCTACAGGAGTATTCCACCACACCTGGCTAATTCTAAAAAATTCTTTTGGAGAGATGAGGTCTTGCTAATGTTGCCTAGGCTGGTCTCAAACTCGGGCTCAAGCAGTTCTCTGATCTTGGCCTCCCAGAGTACTGAGATTACAGACTTGAGCCACTGTGCCTGGCTCTGGCTAATTTTTAAACGTTTTTTTGTAGAGATGCAGTTGCCTAGGTTGGTCTCCAACCCCTCATCTTAAGCGATCCTCTTTCATTTCACTCCAAAGTGCTGGGATTACAGGCGTGAGCCACCATGCCCTGCCTAAAACAACACCGCTCTTTAAGCCTCATTCTTTTCTATAGGTGAGGAACTCAGGGCATGGCTTTGCTAGGTCATCTAGTTCATCAATTTCAGTATCCCTCACAAACCTCTGTCAAGATTTCACCCACGACTGCATTCATTTCAAAGCTTGATTAGGGAAGGATCTATTTCCAAACTCACTCATGTGGTTGACTTCAGGATATATTTTTCACAGGTTGTTGGACTGAGGGAGGGCCTCAGCTCTTACTAAACTGTTGTCCAGTGATCTCTCTTGGTTCCTTGTCACATGGGCCTCTCTATAGGGCAGCTCACAACATAGCAGCAATCTTCATTAAAGTAAGCAAACAGGAGGGCAAGAGTATGAGATGAGTATATGCAAGATGGGAGTCACAGTGTTTTATAACATCTTGAAAGTAATATCTCACCACTTGCCTTATGTTATTTCTTAAAGGCATGTCACTAGGTTCATCCCATAGTCAAGGGAAGGGTATTATGTAAGGGGTTGGAGTACTTGGAGGTGAAGTTTATTAAGAGTCATTTAAGATGCTGCTTACCACGCCAGTTGATTATAGATGGATGTGTTTTAGAGGACAGAGAGAAAGGCTAGATAAGATCCAGAAACTTTTAAGAGCTTTGCTAAGTTTACTTTTGTCTTTGCCCAAGCACCTTGGTTCAGTATTTTGCTTTCTCAGTTTGCAGAGCATCCTGCAGCTCATAATTTCCACTCTCTCTTCTCCCCATCAGCATGCTGCCACCCTCTTCTCTCACCTCTTTTTTCTTTATCTCTTTCAAACTTGCCTTTTCATTCCCTGCTGCTTTCATTGATAGTAGTTACTTCAACTTCTCACTGCTACTTTGTGAAAGTGTATGGAGTTCTAGTACTTTCTGGACTCCGCCTAGCATCTATTTGGGATTTATAATTATATTGATAATATAATAGTGGGAGAAAAGGTTGCCTCTTGGTGTCTGGACTTGGGAATTGAATTTTTGGGTGTGTATTCCTTTGAGACTTGTTACATTTATTACTACCATTAAGTAGAACCTAAACTTTTTATCACTTTGTTTCATGTTGCTGTATTGTTACTTCTTTTTGAGAGAATTTAGTCTGTAAACAACCTTGATTATGTGTTAATCTGCTTTTGCTGGCTTTGCACTGTGTGACAACCTGGCATACAGTGGTGGAAGATGACAGGATCCCAGAACTGATTTTTGAAGTCTTGAGCTGAAAGGTTGCTGCTTTCGTAAGCAATTTGACAAAGTATGGACAAGATTATATTTGCATATGGAGGCTGGTAGTTTCAGAAGCTGTTCCTTGAGTTTTGAATAAAGACTTACAAGTTTCTGTGGAGAGGAATGAAAGTAAAAAAATAAAGGATAAGAATGGTTTTGATTACCTTTGCTCCCTTAGCTAGTATAAGAGCATAAAGTTAACCAAGTCCCTTTGCTGACATTCTTTCTTTAGGCACACAAAGGAGTAGTTGATGTGGACTCTTGTTAACTCTCACTCTATAAAATACAAGAGAAAAAGGAGAATTTTAATTGGAAAAAGGGTTCAAATAATGGGGGAAGAAATACTATTTGTAATCTTCAAATAGGGCATTTTCGAGACCAAAATGATACAATATTTAAAAAACAAGTATTCTAGAATTGTCCCTTGTATAGCAGTTGAACACACTTATTGAAAACCTGGTGTGCTAGACATCACCAACAATATCTCTAATTATCACAGCCACATGAAAAATACTTCCTTAATCAATAAAGTGAGAATAAGGCCCAGGGCATTTCAGTAATATTTCCCAGGGCACTTCAGAGTTGCCTAGTTCAGTGCTTCCTGATGCTTAGCTTTTATCTGGACTCTCCTCCCATTTTACCTTGTTCCTTATCCTCCCCCACACCCCCTGAAAATAACAGACCTGAGAAGTACACCAGGAAGAGTGCTACTTATAACTGCTCATCTTCAAGGAAACTTGAGCATCTATGCAATTAAATACTAGACCAAAATTTGTCTTTTGTTGTGATTTTGTTTGATTAGAAAACACATTAGAAGTCAGGCACGGTGGCTCACGCCTTTAATCCCAGCACTTTGAGAGGCTGAGATGAGAGGATTGCCTAGCCCAGGGGTTCAAGACCAGCCTGGACAACTTGGTGAGATGTTGTCTCTACAGTAAATCAAAAAATTAGTCAGGCATAGTGGTGCATGTCTGTAGTTCCAACTGCTTGGAAGGCTGAGGCAGAAGGATTGCTTTGAGCCCCGAAGGTCGAGGCTGCAGTGGCCATGAGCATGCCACTGTACTCCAGCCTGGGCGATGGAGTGAGACTTGGACTTAAGTAATAATAATAATAATAAAAATAAAATCAGGGCCAGGTACAGTGGTGTGTGCCTGTAATCCCAACACTCTGGGAGGCCAAGGCAGGAGGATCCTTGAGGTCAGGAGTTTGCAATCAGCCTGGGCGACATAGTGAGACCTCATGTCTACAAAATATTAACCAGACATGGTGGCTCACGTCTGTAGTCCCCGCTACTAAAGAGGCTAAGGTGGAAGGATTGTCTGAGCCTAGGAGTTTGAGGTTTTGGTAGACTGTAATTGTGTCAGTGCACTCTAGCTTGAGCAACAGTGAGATCCTGTCTCTTAAACAAACAAAAAAACAAATTAGTGTCCGAAGAGAAAAGTATATGGGAAATTGCTTTGGTCCAGGTAGTAACTCATGTCCATGAGATAGATTTAGATTTATAGGCTACTTAAGGGTAGATTACAATTATCCTGAGAAAGCTAGAAATTAGATTTGGAAAGCTGAGATATCTTTTAATGACTGAGAAGTTTAGTTATTCTTTCATTCTCATTGGATTATGGATTAAATTGGAAAGTAAATCGTATCCTCGAGGAGGAGAGCAAATATTTTGTACTTTCTGGTTTTTATTGTGTTCCTCTGAGGAGTTAAAATCTCCAGGTATGCCCTTTTATGCTCAAAAGCAGTAGTTAAATACTATCTCAACTTTAATTTCCTATCTGAGTTATACCAGTTGAAAAGAAAGCACAATTAGAAGAGATTAGAGGGGACATTTTAGTGAATAAAGCTGTTGGCCAGAAGGGAGCATGATGGGGTTCTAGTGGAATTTCACATTGTAGTCCTGGTCACTGGTACTTTGATCTTGTGCAAAAGTGTACTACGTTTTGCTTGAAAGGGTTAGGAGATTTTATTTCTCTTCAAATAATAAGGGAGTAGCTTTTCCTGTTTTTCCAAAATCTTGAATATGTTAATGGTTGGGAAGCGTTTTGGTTAATAGAATCTCTGTATATAAAGGAAGTGCATTTTGCCTCTATGATTTCATAGCTGGGTTCATGCTTCAGCTCTAGTAACTGTAGTATGGTGGTTAGTATACATATAGGCAGAAGTGTTTTTTTAATAGTTGTAGATATTTTCTTTTTCAGTAAGAGTCTGTTTAGCAGTGAGCTAACAGAGCCAATGTTGGTTCCCTTCCTCCTGCATAACAATTTTGGCATGGGTTAAGTGAATGATTCTAGATATTTAAGTTGAGCCTCTATTGGAAGGTTTGATCACTGACCCTCCCCCTTGCCTTAGGCCTCTTTGTGACTTTTATCAAGTATATAGCAGTGCTCTGACCACAGTTTTGTAGTCAGAATACTTTGATTAAAGACCTTCAGGGCACACAAGCATCTTCAGTACCCTTGTCTAAAAGAAAGTGTTGACTGCTGTACTTTCATCCTTTATGAATTCTTTAAAAGCATCTATTATTTTTAATTTGCAGCAGCTCTTGCCAGGTAAAAAGTTTTGGGAAACAGATGAATCCAGCAAAGATGGACCAAAAGGAATATTCCTGGGTGATCAATGGCGAGACAGTGCCTGGGGAACATCAGGTAATCTAGATCTAGCATCTGTACTGTGATTTATGCTTGTCTTAGAGCTCCTTTCTTCAACAATTGGCAAGTCATGAATTTTACATCAGTGACATAAGCATGTCAAGCAGTGTCCTGTCCTGTAGTATAATTGCCATTAAGGAGCTTATATAATGTAATTTATTAAAACAATTAACAGAAAATCAAATCTTCAGTATTTTTGGAAGTGTTAGACAACAGGAGAATAGTCTAATTTGAAATTACCATAATTTTAGTTACAAATTTTTGTTCTGTACTGCTGTCAACATACTTGGAACTGGAAAATCCACACCTGCCATTTGAAGTTCATGTTTCTTTTTCTCCCCTTTCCCCTGTGTACCGTGTATGGGATGAGATATCTTTAAATGTGATTGGGACCAAATCATGTCACTGGGCATGAACATTCTTCTGACAGACTATCCCTGAAGAGGGATAGGAAAAAACTTGTAAAGGTAGACACACCAAGAGCAGAAAGAAGTGACAGATGATAGGGAGGAAGAGACAGAAAACCCAAAAGCTGATGTGCTACATTACAGCACAATGTAAGACTGGAACCTCATGGTGACAGTGAGTCATCAGAAAAGAACAAGTTATGTTGTTGTATTTAAAAAGGGCTGTAAAATCATATTTTTGTTTTAGCAATATTATCAATCAAGTATATTAAAAAGAAATCATGATGCTTGAAAAGGGTAAACATTTTATCCACTTAGCTGGATAAACCAGTTATGTAAACTGTTGTATTCCTCTGCTATCCTGGATAAATGAGGGTGTGTTCCGTTTCCTTAGCATATGTTGAATATCATATTCAGTGAAAGACATAATAGGAGGTTTTGGGTCAACTGACCACGGCAGGTTTCCCAATTCCCAGTCATTGGTTTATCCATGAGACATCACTCATAATTTGTTTGAGCCTCTGGCTGCACTGTATCATGCTTGTGTATCTTTTTTGTAGATCATTCAGTTTCCCAGCCAATCATGGTGCAGAGAAGACCTGGTCAGAGTTTCCATGTGAACAGTGAGGTCAATTCTGTACTGTCCCCACGATCGGAGAGTGGGGGACTAGGCGTTAGCATGGTGGAGTATGTGTTGAGCTCATCCCCGGGCGATTCCTGTCTAAGAAAAGGAGGATTTGTAAGTTGGCTTGAGGAACTTGTTCCTATCTCTCTCTCTCTCTCTCTCTTTCTCTCTCTCTCCCTCTCTCTCTCTCTTTTTTCCCCCCTAAAGCAAAACATGGCTGTTTAGTTTCCTTAGATACTCACAGCACTAATTACACAGGATATTTTAAAACACTTTGATTGTAAATAGAGCTCAGCAACCATAGAGGGAGATGTAAACTACATTTTTAAAAAATAAAGCATTTTTGAGGGGAACACATTGACAGTAATTTGAGGCAAGAACTGAAATCTAGATCCCAAGTTCATTGGCTTACCAGCGAACATTTTTAGTTTAAAACAAAAACAGGAAAGAAAAAAGGGAAGGAATTAAAAAAAGAAAAAAGAAAAAGAAAAGAAAGCTGAAGCTGGGGTGTTAGGGAATTCCAGATATGAGAACAGTGATTTACCACTACCGAAGAAAACCTCAAAGTGGATCAGATATATAGGATTATTCTTGTTTTGCTAGCTACACGTTAATTATAGAATCCTCTTTGGTCCTCTTGGAATAGCTTTGATTCTGACACTTGGTCTGTCAGGAGATTAGAAATTCTGTTTATTTATCTGTGGATTTTTTGGATCCATTGACTTCTCTGATGCTAAATTGTAGCCAAAGCAGCCTCTCTGCCTGTAGTTTCTTCCCTTTTAAGTCTTAAGCAGTCTTCCTCAAGCATCCTGATAGACTTTCTCAAAACTATTTCTTTACCCATCATTGACTTTCTGGATTTAGATATATTTCCATTTGAGTCTTCCTTGTATTCTGTGTCTGTTTTCATATTCCATGTCATAGCTAAGAAGTTCATGAGCAGCACCCTGAGTCTGTCTTCCCTCCCTTTTTCCTGATTCAGCTCGTTTTGAAACTTCTAGAAGTCATTTTGGGCTATTACCACCTGTTAGCAATCAGTTAAGAGACTTTCTTTCCCCCATATTATATAAATAATTTTGCCACCATAACTGTCTTCCTTTATCAAATGGCATTTTTTGCTTAGTATTTTTGTTATACATCTGTTGCTAAGTATCATAGCTTGGTCCTATTTTCCCTATTCCACGTAAAACTTCTTTAGAGTAACAGTAGTCAGTTTTGGTACCGCTTCCTCAAGTTTGTCAAGTATAGTTCTTGGGTACTAGGCATTATAAAGTTGACCTGATTGCTTCTGGGTCTTTTGGCCCTGCAAAGACTTAGGTCAAGTTTAGTAGCTTATGGATCAGATAGGAAATGGCTTCTTTTATTTGAACCTTCCCAGGGGGCAACTTGGGAAGAACAAGATCTACTCTTTGGATGTGAGGAATGGGATCAGGCCAAATTATCATTTGCCTGTTGTCTCATGGGAAGAATGGAGTTACTTCTCTTTTTTTAATCCTGTCCCTACCTCACCCCTTTTTCTGTCATCACATTTTCTTCATCTTAATGAGCACAGATTCCTCAGCAACAGTGTTACCTTGTGAATACTGCTTGAAACTTTCAGTTATTCACTGAAGGAGATAAATTAGTATTGTGTGTTAGTAAGTTGCTAGTGTGGTGAACTGGAAACGGTGACTCTAGCTGTGAATTTTCTGTCATGTGGGTGACCAGTTTCTATTTCTTGGGCATTAGCCAGGAAGCATGTGCCTGGGTTACTGTTAAGTTTGTAGGAAGCAGAAAAATAATTGGAATTAGGTGATAAAAGATGAAATGGTGAGACTGAGTTATTTTTGCCTATTTTCCATTTTTCAAACAATCATTTCATTAGATAGTTATTTTTATGACAGAAATTTTAGTATTTGCTTTGGTAAAAGTGGGTTCTATCTTTAGTTGTCTTGGGAGACTGGTGATTTATTACTTCTTTTATGAAAGTATTGTTTCTAGAGGAGGTTAAACCCTTAAGCTAGATGGATGAAGTCATACGATTGGACTCTTGAATAGTCAGATAATTTACTGAGCTTTTGAGGTGTGCACAGAGATGAATGAAAAGTCTCCAGCTCTGTGTTCTAACTTCTTTTCAGAAGGAAGCTTGTGGGTAATGAAATGTTATCCCACATTTTGACTTTAGTTGCATCTGTAGAGTGATACAGGACTGATCCAGCGACATCAAGTCACATGGTTGGCATATGCAGTCTGGCGGACAGAACCTTGAGGGTCAGCAAACTACTTGTTAACTTTGTGGTTGTACCTTGTTGACTTTCTGCCTAAGCTGGCTTTGCCTTGCCTGTTGGTTAGGATGAAACCTGGACCAAAACTTTGTTCATGAACTGAATCACTTTATAGTTTTCATGGTATGCATGCATCTTCTTGAAAAATGTTAGTCTTTCCTTCTAGTCTGTCATTCAAAGTGTTGAGTTCAGAGAACAAGGAAGATAGGATATCTGCTTCTTGTAGATGATTATTCTGAAAGACTGGTACTTGGTAGTTTATGGGTCAGGGTACCTAGATGTTTTTACTTTTTGGGTTGCTGTATTAACAGTACTTCTCGTAAACCTCTTTTTAATCCCATATAATCTGAGAGCTGAAAACATCATTTCTGATGACATAGTGGTTGTAGACCTCAAAGTAAGTACTAAGAGGTCATTCTCAGATACTGACAGCAGAGAATCCAGACCTCAACTTTTCAGGTAAAGGTGATTCAGAACTAAAGTAATCTCATTCTGCAGTGGGGTTTTCTATTTTTGTTTTATGGTTACAGCTTGGATGAAGCTATTTAGTTCTTTGTTTAGCTTCCCTGAATCTTCTTGAATTCATTTGCAATTCATTTGCTTCTATAAGAAGACATTCAGGCTGACAAGAAGAAACTGACAACCCTATTTTGTTTTTGCACCCACTATAAATTTTTGGTAGTATTCCACATGTTAATCCCAAACTTTAGGGGAGGAATTTTCAGAATAACAGGGAAATTTAGAATATTAATGAAGTCTTTTATTTATTTGTTCTTTTTGTATTCTTTTTTTTTGAGCCAGGGTCTTTCTCTTCCCCAGGCTGGACTACAGAGGCGATATCAGGGCTTACTGTAGCTTCAAACTCCTGGACTCCGGCAGTCCTCCTAGCTCAGCTTTCTGAGTAGCTGGGACTGCAGGTGTGAGCTGCCATGCCTGGCTAAGTTTTGTTTCTTTTCTTCTTTTTTGTTTTGAGTTGGAGTCTCACTCTGTTGCCTAAGCTGGAGTGCAGTGGCGCGCTCACAACCACCACAGCCTTGACCTGCTGGACTCAGGTGATCCTTCCACTTCAGCCTTCCAAGTAGCTGGAACTACAGGTGTGTGCCACCATACATGGCTAATTTTTATAATTTTTTGTAGAGATGAGGTCTTACCAAGTTGCCCAGGCTGGTCTTGAACCCCTGGACCCAGGCAAACCTCTCCTCTTGCTTTTGCTTCTCAGAATGCTGGGATTACAGGCATGAGCCACTTTATCCTGCTCTTCCCCACCCTGCCCTCCTCTCCCCCTCCCCCTTTCTTTCTAGATGAGGATCTTGCTTTATTGCCCAGGCTGACTCATGGCTTCAAATGGTCCTCTCTCTTCCGTTTTCCAAATTACTGGGATATAGGCATAAGCTACCATGCCTGACCTTCTTTTTGTATCCTTTGTTTTATTTATTCCTGGAATAACATTCCTCCCTTCCCCCTATTCAGAGTGATTGCAAAATCAGATGTAATTACTGTTTTTGAGGCCCATGGATGAGATTGCCTATCTGAGGATCCTGCTATTGGTTGTCTGGAATACTAGCTGATCTTCAAAATAGGTTGATGCCTAGCCAGTCAGAAAAGTGGATCATAATTTCAATCTTGCTGGTTTATGATGCCTAGAGAAATGAGAAGATCAGTCAAAACTTTGAAGTAGGGTGAATACCACACAAACCTCACAGAAGAACGATTTTTAGAAGAAATATCTTGGGAAGGTCTTTCTACTCTTTATGTAGGCAGTGTTTGCTTTATGAACTGGAGGAGGCATACACATTCATAGCAATTTATTTGGGCCACTAAACGATGTCTTGTTTTTCTAGGCACTTATTTTAGGTAACCAGTGCTACTTTAATTAAATTTTGTTTAAAATCTTTGTACAGTGTAATGCAGATAGAAGTCAGGGGTTGGAGTCTCCAGTGGACCTTAATTTCCTTATCTGCAAAATGGGGATAATCAAAACACAAAGTCTAATTTGCGTGACTGTTTGATATATATGAAAATATTTTATAAACTTGAGATCTTGCCCCTCAAAGTCATTGGACCAGTAGCATTAGTATCACCTGGGAGCTTATTACAAATACAGATTCTAAGACCCTACCTCAGAGTTACCGAGTCAAAACTGTGTTTTTCACAACTCCCCCAGATAATTTGTGTGCATATTAAAATTTGATAAGTACCGCTGTAAGACAATAATTTCCTTGGAAGAGTACATCATTAGGAGGTAATTAGAAAATTATCTACAGGCTAGAACTCTTTCAAGAATTGGGCTAACCTTAAGCAAGGAGTCTATGTGCTCCACTTTGCAATGTCAAGCTTTTAGACACTGACTCGATAATATAAACAAGCATCATTTACTATGTTTAAAATATGCTTTCTTAGCCAGGCCCAGTGGCTTAGCCTGTAATCCAGCGTCTTGGGAGGCTGAGGTGAGTGGATTGCCTGAGCCCGCGGGTTCGAGACCCACCTGGGCAACTTGGTGAGACCTCATCTAAACAATAAACAAAAAATTAGCCGGGTGTGGTAGCGCATGCCTGTAATTCCAGCTACTTAGAAGGCTGAGGCAGAAGGATCGCTGGAGCCCAGCAGGCTGAGGCTGCGGTGGCTGGGAGCGGCCACTGCACTCCAGTCTGGGCGACAGAGTGAGACTTCAACTCAAAAAAAAATAAGTATGTTGTCTTTTTTCTCCTGGATCTGGTGGTTACCACTCTTCTTACCTTTCTACACATTAGGAATTGGGTGATACCAGTGTCTGTTATAGACTGTGTTCTACAATACACACTTCTCCACTTGTGTTCATTTTGAAATTGAGATGCATCTTTCACACTTTAG